TCTTTAATATTATTTTCATTAAGAAATCTTGACAGATATTTTAGTGGGGAAGCTCTTATGGTCGATTTGACTAAAACTAACTTTCGTTTTCAGTACATGCTAACTGTTTGGTGTTTAGCGGTCAACTGGATAAGGCACTCAACGGATACATGAAGGTTGATGAAGAAAGAACGATCTTTGAAAACATGTTACAAATAAAATCGTTATGACAGACTTGCTTAGGACATACAGAATAATTACCACCACACTTCTGTTTAGAGTATGACTATGACTAATAGTCTAGTTTAACACAATATTACTAATGACATCAATCTGAGTTATTGTTAGGATATTCTTCCAATATCCTGAAAGAATCATTGGTCAATTCCCATTGGTCAATTTTATGGTCGACCTAGATATCAATGTTACGTGCTCCAATGTTGTTTCTTATTGGTTGTCCTGACTATCAATGTCACTCCAAATGTTGCTTCCTATTGGTCGTCTTAACTGTCATTGTCACAGACTTCGATACTGTTTCCTATTCGACCAAAATGTATAAATACGCATTATCTGTAACGTTTTATGACCAGGACCCGGTCCCGGATCCCTAGTCCGGAATCCTGAATCTCTTCTGGACTCGGACCCCGTAATTTCTGGGTGCTTGTAGAATACAGGTTCTACTTCATTTCGAGTCTCCTTATTTTTACTCAGTATGGGGGTTGGGATAATCAGATTTGAGTAGCATGTTGTGTCGCCGGATCCTCGATCCTTGCTCTCGTTTTCCGACTAGGTAAACTCTTAATAGTTCAAGCATATCAAAATGACGTGTTTACGTGCAGGCGTAACAGCTACATGTCTTTACCATCATTTAAAATTTATAGTTAGTTTAATAAATTGTTAATTAACACTGATTTCATCCGAAATCAAAACTGCTAGATGGATGATTTCAATGCAGCATTTACAAGTAAATTATTCCACTGTACTCAGAACGTTTTTCAGACCTGAAGATCGCTTCCTTAAAAATTATGATGTAATTATCGATTTTCTTTTTAAGTGGACGTATAATTATTGTGTCATTCGTGAAACCAAACATAGTAGCACTAAGCGTTACAAAATGAAGTTTTTGTTTCAATCAACATTTTTTCAACATATAAAAATTAAGTCGGATTATGAATGATTTTACTCAATAATTTCAACTCTTATTTAATAGTCATAATAAAATTTCATAACTTATAAATGGTTAGTTAAATGAACCATACAACACAACTATCATCGTATAAAATCTGATAACACTATCTTGTTGTTTTGAGTACCAATAAGGTAAATAAAATTTCGACCGACTTCAGTAGGCTGATCACAGTGATAAAAAACACTTTCACTAAATAGATATATATGTGCAGTTTGATTGTACTGAATTCGATATCACTTAATATGGAGTTAGAATCTTTCAATAATATTTTCTTACGTTCTGTATAAGGTAGGTTAAATCTTATATGAAGCGTCTGATGTTAATCGTGAATATAACTTGGAGTAATTATTTATCAGACTTAAACTTCAATTTTATGAATTAAATTTTCAAAGACCATGGAAAACAAAGTTTCTTCTCATTCCTTGTATAATAAGGTTAGCTAGATTGTTACTGGAAATTGAACAAAGAATCTGAAATTTAATAATTCCAATTACTTATACATAATTAGTAGTGAGTAATTAATACCATTTTAATTTATAGACATTTACTGATCAAGGTATCAATTCTAATGAATCTTATTAGACGTGACTAGTTTTAAGAGTTGAACTCTGTTTTTTTTAACACCTTGGTTTCATCATCGGAATAATTTACTATTCAAGCATTATTGCACATAGGCTGTGGTTAGAACTTCAAACAATTGACAGGTTATGAATTATAACGAAGCAGCTGATCGGACTTCAGTGATCCCTCAAATAAGATCAGTTTTCAATCATTCCATTCCTGTGAAACTGCTAATTTAAATTTTACTTCAGGAATTGAATCAAAATAGTTATAGAAAATGTCTGTTGTTTCTGTCAGAAATGCATAGCATTGATTGTTTTTTTTTTCACGATATCCAATGCGACAACAGGTTTTCACAGATGGATGTTCAGTCTCGAAAGAAATAATATCTTATTAAAGCTGTTTCGCTCTCCTGAAATAAGCAATCTTTAAAATTGATTGTTGATAAAATACACACACAATATTCAAAACATTAAGTTGTCATTTGTCAGCACATATTTGCCCTTTAATATGGTGGATTCAAATAATATTTTGTCGATTTCATTATACTGAAGATCACTTTTAATTTCATAAGTGCTAGTCAATTATCATTATTGATAATCAAATTGATACCGTTATCTTAATTATACGATCTGTTTAGTTATGAAAATTTGATATTTGTTCTCTGTCTTTTTCATAAGATACAATCCACTGTCTACTTTATATAATCACAAACGGAAAACAATTCATAAACTAAATGAATTTAACAGAATGTAACTTGAAAAGTTTCAAAGTTGGAATTTAGTTCACTTTTTTTATATTAACAATATTCTAATAAGCATTTTATTCCTTTGATAATAAATGGAGAATTTTCTCCAGTAATGTAAATTATCCGGAACATTTGTTATTGTGCTGCATATATATATATATATATATATATATATATATATATATATTCATATAAATTTAGGGTGTAACTTTTGAAAATAATTTCGAAAACTTATTGAAATGATTGATGATTTTTTTTAATTATTATTCAATAAGTTTCGAAAAAATGTGGTATGCATGAAAAAAAGTTGAATATTTAATAGTATTTATATAATTTCTAAATTGAACTAAAACAAGCGCTTATAACTAAACGGATTTGAGGACATAAGTACCTAGTAATTGAAAAATTTTATCAAAACCAAATGAATGTAAACTATTCTAATAAATATTCATGTTTCTCACAATAATAAAGGAATATTTGTGATAGATTAAGCTATTTCTTTAGGAAAAGACCATTTTTCAGGTATTAGAGTATTCAGAACTACTAATGTATGCATATATACATATAATCTTAGGTTGTAATGACATTCAACTTAAATACATTTCTATGAAATTTCACCACAATAACTGATAAATAACAAGCGAAGTGATTTGATCAAGATGACATGACTTCACCTTGTTTCACTACATTCTCGTTAGCACATTACAGCATGCATGATTTCAGTATATAAGAGACAAATGCAGTTTAATATATATTGGATTTAGGAAACGCATCATCATGATGTAATCAAGATTACTGGATTATAAATAAAGCTTAAAAAAAACTAATGAATCACACTTTATCACAAAATATTTCATCTGCAAATATTGAGAAGCATGAAACCAAAGAACTTTGACCTGAATTCAGTGATTACACAATGAGACAAATGAATACAAGTTAACGATAGCTAAGCAAAAAGCGTCTTATTATTTACGTACAGTGAGTTATAACAATTGGTTTACAGAACCATTTCTTCTTTTTAGTTTACATTTATACTAAAGAGAGCATCTTGATATACCCTTTATCAGTAGATTTATATCTCACTGATTAAGTTAAATTCATTATATTTCTTTTAACAAGCTAGAATGTTATTTTTTGACGTTATTTTATGTATAAGAATAAACAAATAACCATAAGTTTATCGGTACATTCAGGTTTAGGATTCTTACTGTTGATAATAATTTTCAAAAACATTTTGAACTTTGTAGCTCAGTTATAGCTTGATTTGTACACTAGTTCTTAGAATAGCTGTTTCTCTCTGGCTTTAAACTTGTCAGAAGTATACAATATATATATTATAGTGGACATATCTAGTAAATAATGATTGGTAACAAGATGTTCATAAGATCAGATGATTTGTAAATAAGTAGTTAAAAATTCAAATTAAATCCTGATTTATTGCTACTAAGAAATTTCTTTCACAATCTGTCAAATGGTACACCAAACTATGTTTAGCATTTAGTAACACATAAATTAGTTCACTTGAAAAGCTCAATTCTCGATTACACAACCATCAATCAAGATTAAGTAATAGTCAAAGCATTTGGATTTTTAAGCGGTAAATATCACCAATAGTTATTCCATTTGAAATATGATACATTTAAAAATTTACTGGTGTATCATAATAATGCTTGTAATCAGAAGAGTTTTTTTATTAACCTATTAGGATGGCATTTGAACATTATCAAATAATACTAGTGACAAGAACAAGAACACAAAAGTTCAAAATAAAGCATTTTATGAGAAAACTTCAATTTCGACTGGATTTGCTTACTAATATTAATTAATTGGAAGAGGTTTAATCAAGGTTTATAGATAATTTGAGTATTTAACATTCATAGTTAACACATCAATAATTGGTTCATTTAACGTTATGCATAATTCAACAACCATTAGATACTCAAGAAAATATTCGATCAGAAATAATGAACAGCTGAGAGTGATTGGTCTTTAAAAGCATCAAGTAAATGACCTTTTCGTTGTATCGAGCATACTTGTTCTACGGTGAAAAGGTGATAAAATCATTGCAATATTCAAATGTACTCTCACTTACAGATGACATTTGGATCACTAGTTAAATTTATTTGAGAAAATCTAAGTTTCTCTATTTTTAAATTAATGCTCTTATCAAATAATCACGGTGACACTAGTAATTACAAACAATTAATCATTTCTAAGTTCATTTTGCCTATCACAAACGAGCACATTAAGTATTTATGGTGCGTACTTACTCACCAAATAAATGGTTTACATTTAAGCAATATAGCAGAGTTCTGTAACACTCGGAACAGTGTAAACTAGTGAAAGTTGAGAAATGTAGCAAAATGCAATTGTAATGATTCATAGAAATATAATGATGTTACCGAATGAATGATTAACATGTTCAATGCTTCAAATTGTTTTGAATTACATTGCATTACATCACTTTACTGACATTTGATATTCTAATCATATGAATTTTGGATTTATTTTTATTTTATTCAGATGAATCGAACAAGTTGGAAGTTAACGATGCTAACAAAAAGGTGAGTATTAAATTGTTCTGACCTTAACTGAAACATTGTTATGTTCGTCAATTGACATGCTTGGAACTATTACGAGTTCATTTTAGTCGGTAAACAAGAGCGAAGACAAATCATCCAGTGATACGATAGACTACTTTAATCCAAGCGTCCCAAGGTCCCACTAAGTAGAGGAAGAAGTCTTGATATGGTCGACAAGCACACAAATCAAGTTTATTTATACTTGATAGTAACATCCTTGGGAGAACCACCAAAATAGCATACTAAAATAACACATTAACCACCAAAAGTCAAGAATTTTCTGGGTGGGAAATGTATTCTCAATGTCAGCTGATCGGTTATACTGTAAACAATCTCATTTTATCAGTGATTAACAGTTTATGTGAAATATTAAACTTCATAAGTTGACTGATCAGCATATGGATTTAAGCTTACAGATACTGATAAACGTAAGTTGAAATTCATCGTGATTTAAAAAACCCATTTATGATGAAATTCAATCAGATAATATCGATATAAAAGAAAGAGACATAAGTGTATCTTAAGATTTAACGATTAATAAGTTTTACTAAAGTTACTTATCTTTCGTGAATGACTCTAATAAAATCATGCTAAGAAGAAGTGAAAAAAATGTGTTTATATTCAACAGGGATCATATAATAGTTCAATTTACTAAAGTTATTAATCTCTCTCTCTCTAGGAGCTTTGTAAAGCACATTCTTTTCATATAACTGATAATTTGTTCTAACAAATTCTAAATTAATCATGCTAAATATCCATATGTCACCAAGTGAATGAAGTGTTCTGATTACTTTTGATTTATTGCATTCCATGTTTTATTATGCTATGTTATTTTACATTGAAATGTAACATGGTATTCTAACCTGTCAATATTGACTATTTGTTTTTTTAACTGAAAGAATTCAAATACCAATTCCTAATCAGCTTTTGCTAAGTATATTGATAACAATCAATCATGTTGATTACTGATATTGATCTTGCTTTTAGTAGTACTGAAATTATCTTCTATTTTGTTAATAATGAAAAAGATTTATATTTTTCTATTACTGATGTTCATAACTGAATTTGATAACTCTCAGCTGGCTTGTGAATTCCAATAAAGTAGTTGGTTTGTATTGTGTTTCCTGTTGGTATCTCGATAAGTGTATTGTGAAGAAGATATATGAAATGTTTAGGAAGTATAGATTAAAATTCCAAGGACATATGTGCAAACACAACAGAACTCTTCCTATACGTTTACTTTTACGTAGTTACATGCTAGCAGACAGCTTTCATGATGTCATAATATTAACGTATTTTAAAACTAAGAAGTAGATGGTCCATCAGAAAACAATCACTAGGCTACAACTTAGAACTTCGTACATATGTACATCTGTTCCATTTTCCATATCAAAGTAGCACAGAGACGTAATTTTCAGTCCTGATCCCATAGTGTTAGAGGTAGTAGAAGTATTAGCGGTGTTTAAAAAGATTACGGTTTGAAGATATGATTCGAGAAGTATGATTCAGTCAAGTAAATTTAAAACAGATAAAATAAGTCCGTAGCTCATGAGGTCACGATAGAAGACAAAAAATTGACGCACCTGCACCATTGTAAGCGATTTTGATCCATGTCATTCAGAGTCTCGCGGATCTCAACTAGGTAGTCTATACGTACCAACATGACTCAGTCCACTTGTTAGTGATTTCATGGATTCGTGCCACGTTTGGCCTCACCTAGCTTTCTTCCACCTTACCCCTTCACATTGATCGTTGAAACAGTCGGGAGTTGGTCATTTGTAACATATGTCCTAACCACCTCAACTGATGAAGTTTCAGTACTTCATCATCACGAGCCCTAATTAGGCATCAAAGTATTTATGTCGCTAATACTGCAGACACTACATTAGTCAAAATGATTCCTCTGCGACTGTCACAAAATAACTTCTGTCCTTTCTCACAGACCTGGACAATCAGTGAATGAGATCAGTCGAATCGAATTACGTCTAATTCCCATATTCTAGCTAAGATCTCAGTCGATCTCACTGCTAAGAATGGACGATCATCCTTGGAAATCTCAGTAGTTAATCCATCACGATCCTAGCATTAGTTTGCCTATAGCCTTTTCAACCTCATTCACAGTCGGATAATATGCACCAATTTGCCATTCAGGTTGACTAAAGATCATGGGTAGCCGAAGTGTGGCTGAAGGCCAGTTGAACTGCTCCCTTTATTGTTCTGTCCATCTGCTTAGCCTCCTTGATTGAGGGTGAATGATAGTCCTGTCGTTTTCCGAATCTCACTAAAAGTTGCATTTCTAACGCCAGTTTACCTGATAGGTCTGAACCGTTATGTACTGTTTCCTAACGCCACTGCCTTCGCTAATCGGCACTGTCCGCGATCATTGCGTAAGTTTCTTATCAGCCTTCTTTTAGGCTGGCTCCGCTAATTGTCCTGTTCAGAGCCAAGCATTTATCAGTAGAGGCTACTGAAATCCATTGTTTCTCGTTAACTTTATGGTTTAACTTACTGACAGATTTCGCTAAATGGGTGTCATCCTAAGCTGCCTCAGAGTGGTCATCACTTACATGGCTGCTTAACTGTTTTTCTAGTTACTCCTGAAATATATTCTTGGCTTTGCTATCATTACGTAGAACCCAAAGAGGTTTTCTAGAAGTGTCTTTCCTACGTCCAATAAGACGCAGACTAATACGCGCTCGTAATAAAGCATGATCTGAATCTAAACATATGCTCCACGATGAGCAGTAGTCTTTTATCGAGCTTCTCCACCGGTGGCTGATAGCGATGTGATCTAGTCTGGTCCAGCGTTGTGACAACTTTATGGGTCACCATGTCAAAGATGTTTCTCCTTATGCTTCAAGTTAGTATTTGCCAGGAATGGGCGATCATCTGAGCATAGTTGCAGCAGACGGTCGCCATTATCTGCTCTTTGAGTCGTGACACTATAAGATCTACCCAGATGTTTGTCTTTGTCGCTTAGTCTACGTACTTGAGCATTGAGGTCACCAGCCACCATTACTACATCAGTGCCTAACTTTTTGAAGGAGGTCCGAAAGCTTTCTATGAAATTCATCTTTAGCCTCATCACAGCTACAGTTTGTGGGAGCGTAAGCAGAGACAACAAAGAGGCAACGGCGAGTGTCACTGTCTTTACGAGTTCTTACTGTTCCATTTAGTCTGACAGTGCATAAACGACTGTCTACCGGGATGCAGTCCAAGAAATCTAGTTTAGCCTTAGAACCTGATGGTATACCTACACTAGCGAGGTCATGGGGAGCATCAGTAGGGCTTCCAGATACATGGAGCGTAAACCAAGTTGGTTCTTTATCATGACAAGGAGAGGTCGAATGGATGATTCAACTCGAATCCTGTGCGCGCGTTCCTGAGATGCAGCACACATTGATGGCACGACATCCCAGAGTCCTAGCTAAGGAAGCCTGTTGTTCCGTTCTGGAAAGGAAATCGGATTACCCATGATTGTAGCGACCTGGGAGCGTGACCGAAGAGACCAAGGGACAACTGCCTGAACTGATCAAAGTTAGGCAGTAACACCGTCGGATGCCGGCTCAGTCGTCCAGAGGTTAAGCGTTCGTGCACAAGATCGAACGTCCCGGGTTTAAATACTGAAATTAGATGGAGTCCAAGAAGCATACTTCTAATAAATCCCATACCAGAATGAAACGGCCGTCCAGTGCTTTCAGGTTTCTAATGGTGGTGTAACAATGATTCATTAAATTATTTCAATGTGTAAGAACTTTTTAAACACATGTGCTAGTCAAACTAAAACTATATTGATTATATTTTCATTTCACTCTCACGCGCAGATTCTTGTTTTGATTGAATATTGAGTTTTCAGTGTATTTATCCTCCCTTTCGATAAGATTTCTATCATTTACCACTGCTAAGAAAAATACATTATGATATATTTTTTCACGATAATTTGTAGCTCTAATATTTTTAAATTTTGCTTTAGCTACTCACGAGTAGTCACGTTATTTTCTTCAAGAAATAAGTGTTAAACAAAATATTTCTAACATACACTTATCACATGATTCATAGTACATGCCTGTGTTTATATATTACACTTAACTGAGAGCTGCACTTTTATTTGAAGTAAGAAGTGCATAACAAAATCACTTTGAAAAAATGAATATATGAGGCATATACACATACAATATTAAATGGCGAATATACATAGATTTAATATTGTAGTTGAATAAAGATATAAAGTTACAAAAAATCGACTGAATGTTTCTCCTTATACCCAACAATATTTGAGATCTTTAGTCAGTTTTATGAGTTAATATTATTTTTCAAGTACGTAGTTAATAAGTTTTGAAATCAACGTTAGGGTCCATTTCACAAAGTCCTAAAAAACTCGAACACTAGTGACATCTGATCAAGGTTCATGAAGTTGACTTCGGAAATTCACTTAGTGAATAAACACTAACAGATAATCTTTTCTTGAAATCCCAGCTGTGTTTTACCTGGCCGGAAATGATAGGAAACCTCAGTAATCTATGGGACTATGGCGACTACTAAATAGTATTTTGACTAAAAGATGAACTCTCCAAAAACAAGAATTCATTCCTCAGGACAAATTTCTGTTCGTATTCACAACAACAATAGTTTTAACATTTAGTTGGTAAATAATTAAATTAAATTATTTTATTATTAAACAAGGTTAGTAGATATTGATCAACTTCTGCTGTACAACACGAAATGAATTTGAATAGTTGTCTGGTTAAAATTAGTGAGTGATGTCAAAGCAATAAATCATTCATTCATTTATGTCTGCACTTGTTTCTAAGAAACAAATGTCAATGAATATATAGTAAGGAGTTGTATAGTAATTCTTAATCCATCATCCTATGTTTTGATAATCAACTATATCAGGAGAAAAATATTTTTAAGAAAGATAAACGTTTTCATTAATGTTAGGTTATAGCTAAGAATGGAGTTTAAGAGGTATATTCCATCTTATTCCTCAGTTATCATCTGGATGCACTCGGATCCTGGTTTTTATGCCTACACTGAAGCTGGAGCCTAGTTCTTTTAAACGATAACACTCTATCCATTGTGCTGCTGTGTAAAAAAAGACCCACCAATTTTTCCAATGGGTTTGTGGTTATATAAATACGTAAATATAAAAGCTTAGGTTATTGACTAGTCCTAGGTTCCCCTGTTAACTGCAACCCAGCTGTAGTAAATACTTGTAACGAAAAGTTATGATCAGAAATTTTTCTCAATGGGCATATGTACCGATAGAGACTGAGCAAATTTAATCCTAAATATCAACAACTAGAAGCCTCAAACCTTCATATAATAGTAGAAATTAACGTTGGATATTGAATGTAAAGTGGTGAGCAGTAATGCAAACAAAACGAAAACTTTGAAATTCCCTTATATCTCTTGAAAATATTTTACGTTTCTAATCATAAATACTTCTCATTATAGAATATTTTAAAGCTTCTTTTCCTTGCAGAGAAGAGTTGATATTTCTTAGCAGTAGTTTATTAAATAAATATTGGATTTAAAAGAATATAATTATAACCTTGATGTCAATTTCAGTAGTAAAACTGAAAATGAACTATTCATTTGATTTCCTCATTAATTAGAATGCTTTGAGAAAAATAGTTTTATTCAAGTTAGTTTATTGATAAAACATCAGAATAATGAAGCACGGATATTTAAGCTGTAGTTTTTCGTTGTTTGTTGTTAGGCAATTTACCTTCAGTTTTTTTAATTTTTATTTTCGTCAATAGATTTCTACAGCTTCATATAAACGAGTTACACTGAAACGACCTAATCGCATTCATAATAATCTAACAGATCCACTCAGATCTCTCTCAGATTCCGATAATGAATCCAATGACTCCATATCAAATTCACCATCACCATCGTCATTCACTTCATCATCATCTGATGACGATGATGATGAAGATGACAATCTAAATGAAGCTCATTATGATACATCACAACCGGAATCATGGATTAATACAAACTTTAAACAATTAAGTGGTATCATTCTACCAGACATGATATATCGACCAAATTATCATACAACAACAAATAAATCTAAAAAGAAACGTTTATCGAAAATTGTTGAAACAAGTCAATGTTCACTAAATGATGATGGTGATGATAATGATCATTATGATGAAAATCAACAAATTACTTCTTGTAATTCTGATGAAAATGATAAAGTAGAACCGTCATCATCATCACAAAAAGATGAAACTTTCTTTGCTTCAACAAATGTTTCTAGTACACATAGACCTACATTATCAAATAACATATTTAATTCTGATACGTTTAAACTAGAAGTGATCAATAAGAACACAAGGGCGTTGACTCAATCTGATCATTCATTGGTTGAGAATAATGGACCAGTCACACCCGTTGTACAATATACCGATGTAAATGATAAAAATATTCTCGTTGGTAATCAAAACAACCAACAATTTTCAGTCAATCAACATAAAAAAGCAAATGCAAATTTTCAGTCGGAATTAAATACAGTTAATTTGCAATATGAAAACCACAATACTGAAAATGAAAAACAAAATTATTCGGATAAACATGTATATAGTAAAGAAAGAGATAATTTGACAGAAAATACTGAACTAATTAAGCCACAAGAAATTATTATAACTAATAAGGAAGACGGATCAAGTAAAAAAAAAGTTGTTGAAGATCATTCTGAAATAATGTATCATCATAATATGCGGCTACCTCAGACATCATCATCATCATCAATGTCATCAACCTATGTCCGAAAGGAACACTATTTTCCAAAACACTTACAAACTAGTGAACATCAAACATCAAATGAAGAGAAGCTTGCGCATAGATATAACGGTATGTTTATTTTCATAGTAAAAATAACATTTTGACATATCCAGAGCTAAAAGTCATGTTGCTATTAATAGTTACAAGACAATGATAATAACATGTATAGTTTTTCATTCTACAAATATCCGAATTTGCAACTAATAGATTGTAAATATGTCTTCAATTCAACTAGAAAACAAAAATAATTGTGATATTAGGAAAATTTAATTATCTTATTTTACTATTATATTTGTATTGTATAAACATTTCAGTATAACTTAGCCGTAAAAGTGCTGTATATAGGGTGAAACGATAATATTAACTTCAGATGTATACACAAGAATATAAAATATTCGTAGATATATCATGGGAAAAGTACTGATTACAGACTTTGATGTTTACTCTATTGGTTGACTGTGTTAGACAACTGTATCCAATAATCAGCTTGAAGAAAGAGATGTAATCAGTCTTTTTTTGCTTATATTTTAAACTCCTAACAATAAGCATTCCCACCATATTTTTTTTAAGCTTTCATCTTGTTATGATGGTTTATTTTGTTATATTTTTTTAGTAACTGACATGTGATATCATGTTTTGTATGGCTACACATAGTTCCATGTCAAGTATAAGTGTATTTCAGTCTAATCTGGTAGTGTTTATGGGGATATATGGTTCTTTTTTGTTATATATATATACCCAAACATACTTTATTTTCTGAATAGATATAATAGTACGTAAGAGGTTTTTACAATTTAAATTATGATTTACTGTCTACGCATTAGTGTCTAAATCCAAGCTTACTAATACTCCAAATTATGATGACAATCTTACCAACTGTTTCTACATAAGTTGTAGTTGATTGCTAAACCCGTTTTTTGAACATTTGCTAATCAATGTTGAATATGAATTTAAAAGACGGAAATATGTTAAAAAAATGCTATTTAATAGCAAGACTCATGATAAATCCTGTGTACTGTATGAAAGAAAATGTAAAAACATTATGATCTTTCTGAAAACCTAGTCATTCGAGTCAAACACTAAATTTATTCTCTAATGGGTCATTTACAATAAATAAGAAATATATGAGATGTTTGTTTGCCTGTCAGAAATTCAAAAAGCAAAAGACTGACGTGGGTTACTAGTATTCGATTGCAACACACCATAGATAAAAAACTTGTCTTAGGGTTGTAATCTACTTTTAAATGAAATGCGCAGGTTTTCCGTCATGTTCAAATAACACCTACCACCTTACTAGCCAGTAAAAACGTAATTTGAGCAGGGTTTGGGGGCAAGCACATTATTGTTTGAGATCGGTTTCTGAACTCAGTATATGTTAATGTATAAGTATAAACTTTCTCATTCAATTTACGGAAATAATAACAATCTTCAGTCATGAAGTTCATAGTTAGCGTTTTTTAATTTATACTTTGATAAAATCTTGTACATTGTATTTTTCCATACATTTGATTTGTTGATTTCAACATTATATGCGTTTTCCTTTCTCCCTTACTCATACAACCTGCAACTGAGCAGTTTTCATCATTATACACACGTCCTTGGGGATCTAAATGAACTAAACTGTATTTCTTAACTCTAATAATTTACTTCTATCAAAAAATTATGATCGCTAAACTATTGTGTAGATTAATGAATTTCACCGATCATTGTTAAGCAACAACTTGAAGCGTGCAAATACTGGACGGTTTTGTTCTTCCAGGTTCTCGATGGTTGTTTCACTTTGACTGGTTCATGATTTCAAATAAAATTATCACTTTAACTTTGTTACTTTCCATAATATTCTATTCTTTTCATGATTCTGCTATGGAGTATAATGCATGAATCGATTACTTGTTGTTTTAGTCTCTCTCTGGTTAAACAATAATTATCATTAATTGAATAGATATTCTCATCCTCCTCAGCTTGTTTAAGGTCATAAAGTGAACTTACTAAGTTTACTTAACACCGCTGTTTGTTATCTATTTTTCTGAAAATAAATATCACTAGTTAATTTTTTCATTAGAGAAGTTTTGTCAACGAAATAAAATATATTAAGTTTGAATTTTCGATACTTATAAATATATAACGAAAGAGACTTTCGGTGTAATTGGAGAAGCATAAAAATAATAAAACAAGGATAATTTTCCTTTCGATTTAAAATTATTTTGTACACATTTAAATCATCAATCAATCATTATTAGACCACCATTAAAAACGTGGAAGCACTGGACGGCCGTTTCGTCCTGGTATGGGACTCATCAGCAGTGCGCATCCACGACTGCTGCAGCTCGCAGGATTCTAACCTGGGACCTTCGGTCATGCGCGCGAACGCCTAACCTCTGGACTACTGGGCCGGCATCTAATGGTGTTAATATCTTGTGTTGGGTTACAAGAAACCAAATCATGCAAAGCTTATATAAACAACATTAGATTCTGAATGGTTGTTCTTTAAACTTTTCTATTTATTATTAAAATTATAAATTTCTGCAGTAGTTATAACTACTTGAAATCAAAAATAACTATTCACTTTTAAAAATGTTAAATGTTTACAGTTGCAATCACTAAACTATGTTTTTTACTGAAACATGTCCGAATCATTTTAGGAGAAAATGATTATTAACAAAAGCAAGCACAGTTTCTGTTGTGACTATTGAAGAATTTTATAGTTTTAAAATGAATCAAACATAGTGTACTATTAGCAGACAAACTTAATTAAAATATTTCATGTAGAGGTTCGAATAAACGAGATTGCTTACACTTAAATTAATGTATGATTTATGTGTCTATCAATGTGCAACTATAAGTGGGTATTTTCACAAATATACGTTGGTTTACTAGTTTGTATTATCGATCTCATCATCAAATTTCGATGATGCAGCTGTGTAAGTGTTGTACTAAAGTTAATTGATCGCAAAAAAATAAATGTTTAACTTCACAATCAGGTTGGCCCAGTTAAATATTACTTGAAAATGTAAATAGTTTTTTGTTAAATTTATCAAGAATTCTACTCACTATTTCAGAAAGAAAAAACAAATCCCTTCAAAAGAATTTAATAAACAAATAAGATAAAGTGGCACGAAAAAAACACATTTCTTTTACAGTTAGTTAATGTTTTATTACAAATTCTTAAGTGTTCATAAAATTAATTACGATTAATTCATAAAATAAGTTAAGATGAAGTAGATGAAATGATTAATGTTTAGGAGTATTGGTTAATCAGTGAATGAATGTCGTAATAGATTTCATTATGTGACGTAAGAGAATCCACAAAATTTTTACAAGAAATTGAACACTAATAAAAAGTGATTACGCATAAGAAGAATGTTACAATTACGCAACAACAAAGTGAGAACTAAAAGTTTAACACTGTTAAAGAGTCAGTTGTGTATTAAGACATTCGTAACTTACTTCAGTTTTGCCCGAAACGATGACCTGTACTCAAAGATCAGACTTGATGATATGAATGTCATATTCTCTTAGTTCTTATAACGAAAATCTGAAACCAAACATTAAAAATGCGTATATGTAGATAATCAATATCAGTTGGTCAATATGCTCGTCCATATGGTCCTTCGCCTCTCGGATGCAAAAGTAAATATGTGGTGCAAGAGAATGCTCTTCATGCTATTGCATTCTCTAAGCTAGATAATTTAATTAACAAAGTTTATTCCAGTTTACTTTATGAATCAGTAAGTCCTGATGATAACCATATCGGGTGTAGGCAGTAACTATCGAAGACAAATGGGTGAGGTCGCGCAAAATCCCTAGATCAATCAGAGTTAGACATTAACACCGTTAGATGCCGGTCCAGTGGTCCAATGGTTAGGCGTTCTCTCACAATACTGAAGGTCTCGGATTCGAACCTTGCGAGATGCAGGAGTCGTGGATGCGCACTTCTGATTAGACTCATACCAGGACGAAACGGCCGTCCAGTGCTTCCAGGTTTTTAATGGTTGTCTAACAATGATTGACTGATGATTTCAAATGTGTAAAAACACTAATCTCTATAACTCTATTTGAAGATAATTTAATTGTCTGATTGGTAAAAACATGTTGCCATCAAAAAACATCACTCATACATAGCTAGCGTTGCTTCAATATAATCTCAATCAATGAACTATGAATTTAAATCGCACTGTGATAACTACACAAAACCATCGAATATTTTTGCCAAACTTTAAAACTAAACACATAAAGCCGGATTTCATCACTTAGTTACAATGAACTTTAATTAATATATTAAATAGGATCTGAATATTTCTTCCAACAGATTTTCCATTATTAAACTTATGATTTGCACTACCACAAAATAAAGCAGTATAATCCAACTTATTTACAGATTTCAGAGGCACACTGTGAGACTAACCGGTTTACCCAAAGTGACACACTTGTGTAAAAGGTACAAATCACCAGTTTACATGTTGAAATACAAATGATTAAACCACTGAAACACTGTTTCATGTATCACGTTGTATACATATCTACAACCTTGATAAAAGCAAACAGTTGGTTCACTTTACAATTTTCTGCTGTTCGTTCCTGTAAACCTACATAATAATAATAATAGAATTATGATTATTTTATGCACTTGGTTTATGCTATTCAAATTAGAATTGATAATATTACATTAAATATTAGTACTGCTAACATTATGGTTGTAAACCGAAATATGCATAATATAAACATTGATTTGCAAAAGTATTTCTACGTAAAAACCATTCATATAATGTAAATATTTATACAGTGTTACAGTAAAATATCCATCATCAGCATAACAATAGTAGTAATGACGCAGTTTCACTAGTTTGCAATTATTTAATCGATCCAATGAATTGTGTGTTCTAATCATTAGATGAAATCATTTGATAGTAAAGTACATTATGGTAATAATAATAATAATAATAATAACCATTAGCAAAACGTTATCCGGATTATAAAGAATGAACAATTTAATGGGAACATTGTAACAACTGAAAACACAATTAATTACCACATTTTGTATCGGTATTGCAATCACTGAAATGCAAAAA